TTAAGAGGGGATTTAATGAGCCATTAAAGGGGCTCATTAAAAGGTGGCCGGCGGCATGATTAGGGGGAGGGAAATAAGGTTTGAAACTTAAAACTGAATTTAATTTCAGTTTTAAGTAATTCGGGAGGGAAAATTTTGAAATCAAATTAGAATTTCAAAACGGTCAAGGCATTAAACTAGCATTTAATGGGAAATCTCCATGAGGGGGGCCGGCGGCATGCTTGGAGGAGGAGAGGGGAATTAAGGGGGAGGGGTTTCTAAATTAGGATGATGATGTGGAGTATTCTATCATGACTCCGAAATAGATTAAATTGAAATTGAAATTGATCATCAAAACTTTCCTAAATGGGGATTCCAAATTATGAAAGAATTGAAAATTTCAAATTTCAAATTTAAAATTTGATTGGGGAAAGAGTCGGGCGGGCGATGAGGGATGACCGATGAAGTGGCCGGCCGGGACTTGGGTGATGGCCGGCGGCAAGCTTCCAAGGCCGGCGGCAATAAGGGACTAGGGGTGGAATTTTGTGGTGGAGGTGGAGAAGATGATGGTAGGGAGTAGGAACAAAAAGATAACTAAATTAACCACGAGTTGCGGACTCTTCCAACAACTGGTGGGCCTTGCGCTTTGCTCCCCTTGAGCTCTCTCCCTTCTCAAGCCCTCATGCAAGAAGAAGTAGAAACCAAAAGCAATTTTTATTCAAATATTCATTAACCATAATACAACATGAAATGACCTATATATAGGTCCCAACACAAAAGAAAGTACAATGACTCTATTGCCCTCGGGGCTACACTCATGACTCAGCTCATACTAAGGGTACAATAGGAAATTCTAATAAATAAAAGAAAATGCATAAAAGAAATACATGAATAACTAAAAATATAAACTCTGAATCGTGGTCGTCGATCTGCGCTGTCTACGGCGATACACATGTCTGAACCTCTGGTCGATGTCCACATCAATAATGATCCAGTTGTATTGGAATTGTACACTCCACCACAAAATCAACAAGTATTTGTGATTTGATATCTGGTCGGAGCATATGGCGAATATCAAATTCTCTCAATTTTACTGACCATTTGACTAATCGCCCAGAAGTTTTATGTTTTTGAAGGATAGTTTTAAGAGGAAGTTGTGTATAGACACCAATCATGTGAGCTTGAAAATATGAGCGTAATTTTATGCTGAAAATACCAATATCAAAGCCATTTTATCTGCCAATTGATATCTCCCCTCCATATTAGAAAGGAGAAATTGCAAGATACAAATACAAAACTTCTTCTGAAATTGATTTTGATAATAAAGGCGATGAAGCTAGATATGTTTTTAATTGTTCAAAAGTAGTTTGACACTAGTCTGGCCATTGAAAGCCCTTCTTAAGAGCACCCTTAAGTATCTTGAAAAATGTTAAATATTTATCTCTCAATCGAGCTAAGAAGCATGATAACGTTGTTATCCTTCCGTTCAAGCATTGTACATCTTTTATGCTTTTTAGGATATATTTTGTATAGCTTAATTTTCTCAGGATTGGCTTCAATTTCTCGATGGATAACCATGAACCCTAAAAATTTTTCAGATGTGACTCCAAAAGCACATAGTGGGATTAAGACGCATGTTATAGCGTCTAATAAGCTGAAAGCATTGTTCCAAATCCAAAAGATGATGTTTACTTTTATAAGTTTTTACCAACATGTCATCAACATACACCTCCATTGTAGGCCCAATAAAATTTTTAAAACTTTATTCATTAGACATTGATAAGTTACGCCAATATTTTTTAATCCAAATGACATGAGTTGATAACAGTAGAATCCTTTGCAAGTTTGGAAAGAAGTGACAACTTTATCAGCAATATTCATCTTTATCTGGTTATACCCATAATATGCATCCATAAAACTAAGTGTTTGATGACCAAATTGTGGGCTGAAAAATTCGTGGTAGTAGAGTGAAAATAGTTTGTCTTGACAATATATGAAATCTCATCACACAAACAGATGATAAAGCGAACACCATAATTTTTATGTGAAAAATCCTGAGAAAGGGAAAAACCACAAGGTCTTGCCTAGTCGAAATAATTCCATTAGCATTTGAATAGATTACAAAAGTCAATTTGTTCTCCAATCCGAGGGCAAGGAGACTACAATGTATTGAAAAGCTTTGCCAATCTTCAGATAGATTCTCTTGGTGCAAAAGTCTGGTAATGGTTAGGAAGAACTTTGAATGCAGTTAGGAAGAATGTCGGTGGTTGGGAAGAATGTCGGTGGTCGGGAAGAATGATGGTGGTCGGGAAGAATGTCGACGGTGGTCGATGGCAAGATGGTTCTCCAAATCTTCTCTTCCTCCTCTCTTCCCTCTCTTTTTTTCCCCTCTTTAAGAGAAAAATGGGGGCCTATTTATAGTTTTTTGGGAGTGACATGGCTTGTAAATATGAAGGAGATCAAGGTCAAGTTTGGAGTGTAAGGATTGATGGTTGATATCGTCTCTCTTGATCATAGACATTTAATTGCCTTAATGATATCATAATTAAGCGATCTTGGGCTCGTTAAGCCGCTAGATTTGACTATAAGCATGCCATATTCGACAATCATTTGATTATCCCATTAATGCTTTAAACCCTCCAAATATGTTTTGGACCCTTAATTTGGGCTCTAGTTGGGCTAATTTTGGTGTTATTAGGTTTGTTTCTTCAAAATGTTTAATTTGACTATAATTTGTTGAAATCAAAGCTTGGATGATTCCTATTTTAATTTCAAAAGTTTTTTGCATGGATTTGCCTCGAGATTTGTGCTCAATCAAGACAATTTTTGGTGATATATCAGTTGTCCACATATTTTTGTATATCGTAGCTTATAGACTCCATAAATATACATCTGAGCTCTTCAAGCTGTTGAAATGTAAAATTATGATTTTCAAGTAACTACAAGGTGTGATTGCCCCGTTGAACACCAATATGGTCCTTCTTTTATGACTGTGAATTTAGGCCAAATATCATTTATCATAGTTCTATCATTCCATGAAGTTGGCATGGAGATCGAGAAACTTTTGAATTAGCTCATTCCTTGGGCCCTCCCTTTGACATTAAATGATCTATGGTGTTGATGTGGCATTTGGTAATGACTTGGTCATTCACATGATGACTTCGAAGCCTATTTTTCATGCATAGCCATTCATATCCTATAAACACTGTAAGACTGCAAAGAAAATGAAAATAACATAAGGATCATCCCAGAATCATCCCTAGAAGCCTTGAACAGCTTGGCATGAGAGACGTCCCAACATATCAATGTTGGATCCCTTGATAAAGCCACCTTAAACTACGAGAATACAAGAATTAAAGTGCAAGTAGATTGTCATGAAGAATGAAGTAAAAACTCCAGAAGTTAGTTTCCAGTTGCTGGATTCAGATCAGATAAATAAAAACAATAATACCTGCTTGAAGATCCAATAATAAAAAAAACTGTATGGTACCAGGTAGCTTTAAATAATGCAATCTCAGCAAATTTAGAAACAAATCAACCTTAAGAAACCAAGAGATATGACCACTTACTTGCATACTCCGGTGCAAGATACCCAAATGTCCCAGCTAACCGAGTAGCCAGTGACTTCTCATTGTCTCCTGCAAGCTTGAGCAAACCAAAATCTGAAACTTTGCCCCTTAAATCCTTGTCAAGCAGAATGTTTGAGGGCTTCAGATCTCTATGAATGAAGCTTCCCTGCATAAAACTATGGAGGTACTCCATTGCCTTTGCCACATCCAGGGCTATAGTCAATCTCTGTTTCCAAGTTAAAGGGCAAAACCTGCTCCCTTCCCTATCGAACAAGTGCTGCGCCAGTGTTCCCTCTGGCATGTATTCATAAACTAGCAGCCTCTCTTTCTCATGCTCACAATAACCTATAAGGGATACCAAATGCCTGTGCTTTGCCTTCCCAATAAGGCTAATTTCTGCCTTGAACTCTGACATTCCTTTCATACTTAGCAGATCAAGCACACACCTTTTGACAGCAACAATGACTCCATTACTTAAAACTCCTTTGTAAACAACTCCAAATCCCCCGCTGCCCAAAATAGCATCTTCACTGAAATTATTTGTTGCCTTCCAAAGATCCTCAATTGACATTAAGTTCTCACTATTTTCGCTACGAACTGTTATATCAGAACAGTTCCCATCACTGCTCTGTGTATTAAGCTCACTCTTAACTTTGCCATCACTATTGAAGCCCATAATTCCAATCTTGGCATGCCCTGGCCGCTCTGGAGAGGCTTCCATTCTTACTCTCTTAAAATTCTGCTTCTTCTTGCAACCAAGGAGGTAGTAAACAAGACCAAATAAGCAACCCGCAATAAATAAAACAAGCACTACCATTCCCACAATGAATTCTGTAGACGACTTGGATTTACCATTATGATCTGGAGAAGATGAAGACTGATTAGAACCTGGCGCCACACCTGATGCAGATCTATCAGAGTCTCCTCCTCCTGAAGAACCAGAACCAAAGTTGTTGCCAGATTTTACCACTCTAACTGTAGGTGCAAAGCTAGGTATGGACCCAGTGAGCTGGTTATAGGAAACATCAAGCAGTTGCAGCTGGTGCAAAGTGGCAAGTGAATTTGGAATGACGCCGGTGAGACTATTGTTGCTCAAGATCACATTTTTCAGCGAAGAGATATTGGCAATCTCCGGAGCAATAAAGCCCTCAAGATGCTGGTTTGCGAAATTGAGAGTCATAATGTTCCCCTGCTGATCACAAATCACACCAAACCATCGACTGCCGCCGCCACATGGATCATTGCCGGTCCATGAACTCGCTAGCAGGGCAGGGTAGCCGAACCCTGCCGCCACAGCAAGCAGCTTCATCACCTTGCTGTCACAAGGCGCAGCTTCCGGGAGGCAGAAGTTGTTTCCCTTCTCAATGTCGGCGGAGACTGTGGGACCGAACTTGGGCATCGGACCTTGCAGATTGTTGTTTGATAATGATACGTTTAGAAGAGAGGCGGCGGCGGTGAGTGAGCTGGGAACGACGCCGGTGAGGGCGTTGTCGCGGAGATTGAAGGATTGAAGGGAAGTGAGATTGGAGAGGTCGGGAATGGGCCCCGAGAAGGCATTGGATTGTAGCCACAGAAGGGAGAGCTGGCTCATCTTGCCAATAACGTCGATGCGACCAGAGAGCTGGGGACCCTGCTGGTTGTTGAGGATGAAATTGCGGATCTGGGATCGGGAGAGCGAAGCAGGGAGTGGGCCGGAGAGGTTGTTGTAGGAGAGGCGGAGGAATTGGAGTGAGGAAAGCCGGTCGAAGAAGTCCGGAAGGGGGCCGAAAACGGAGGCATTGGAGGCGGAGACAGAAGTGAGAGGGCAATCAGCCAAAGAGTCCGGGAGTTGCCATGGGGAGAGGGGATTGTCGTTGATGGAGAGCTTCTGGAGGCTAGAGAGGCCCGAGAAGAAATCTGAGGGCACGGAAGAGAAGAGGTTGGAATCGAGGGAGATCACTTCGAGGGCAGCGAGTCCGCCAAGTGAGGGAAGTGGACCGGACAGTTGGTTGCCAGAGAGGAAGAGAGATTGCAATCCACTGAGCGAGGAGATGGATGCGGGTAGGGTGCCAGCAATGCCGCGACCTCGGAGGTTGATGCCCGTGATGCGGCCGCCAGAGCACGAAACGCCACTCCATTTCGGGGAGCACGGATCTGAACCCGCCTTCCAATCCACCGGCGCATTCTTCAGTCCCTTCACTAGATCTTCAATGACCGCGGCGTCGTTTTCGCCGCCTGCAGCGCTGGAGGGGACGCAAGCTCCGGCGAGTAAGAGGGCGACGACGAAGAGATAGAGAGAAGTAAAGCTCCCTCCTTTCTTTCTCATCATCTGAGAGAGAATGCGGACACACTGGAGAAGGAGCTGAGAGCTCTTTTGGCGTCGGAGGTGGAGAAGACGCAGAACGCGCGCCCCACTTTGGAGAAAATATTCCCATTTATAGTGAAGTTTTGAAAATTGGATAAAAATATTTAAAGGTCAAATATTTAATCCAAATTGAATAGGGGTTGAATTAAATGCATAATTAATATTAAATTTATTTTAATATAATCTAAATGATATAAAAATAATTTAATTAATTTAATAAACAATAATTAAAATTAAGATGTTTTATTATTATATATTTTGAATATGGCTATAAATTAACATTTTGTGATATAATATTTTGATTATTTGTAAGATATTTAACTTCAAATAATAATAATATTACATTAATCTAAGTTATGTTTATAAACTAATATATTTATTTATCTCTTTTAATTTCTCATTTTTTCACCATTTAATTACATTAATTATTTGAACCATATTCATTTACTCTTTTTCATAATAAATGAGTTGATTGGTGAGCTAACTTGAACTCGTAGAATAAAGCTCAAGCTAGAGCTTGATTAAGCTCAAGTCAAGGATGACTGGAATTTGACTTGACTTGTTTACACTTTTAGGCATCGTTTGAAACGACTTTCTTACTACTTCTTAAATCAGCATTTTAGTATCTCAAATAATTTTTTATACTAAAAAACTGCTTTAAGAAAGCAATAAAAAAGTCTTCACAAATGAAACCTTAGTCAAAGATGAAACTTTTTATCAATGATATGAAGTTATCATGTCATAGTTGAGAATATAACGAGCACATTGCAAGTGATGGATTGATGTTTTTAACATACATATTGACGTAAAAAAATCTAATAAATCGATGGCCTATTCAGAGCCTACCAAAGATATGGGACAATATCTCTTTATTTTTATATATAAAAACTACATCACTCTCTTATATAGGAGAAATTATTACGTGTAGTCATCGGACCGTCCAGAGGTTAATCAGGATGCCCCACGTCACCCGGTACACAACAAAATAACGATGTGGCGCATCCTGATTTGCCTCTAGACGACGTCTGGTGATCGCAAGCAATAATTTCTCCTGCAAGAGGACCATTTTAGGATAACAACTTTAAAATGGAATATTAAAGACACAAAATCTTGGAGATTCAACAATGACATCGTTGCGAACCACGACCCAACAAAATCCTATGTGCGTGGCATAGTTATCAACTAATCAAGATTAAGCTCAAGTTATGGGTGACTCGAATTTGATTTGACTTGTTTACAATTTTAGGCTTCGTTTGGAACGGCTTTCTTACTACTTATTAAACCAGCTTTCTAGTATAACAAATAATTTTTATACTAAAAAACTGCTTTAAGAAGCAATAAAAAAGCCGTCACAAACGAAACATTAATAAAAAAATGAAGCTTCTTATCAATGATATGAAGTTATCATGTCATAGTTGATGTAGTGAGCACATTGTAAGTGATGGATTGATGTTTTTAACAAACATATTGACCTAAAAAATTTAAATAAATCGATGGCCTATTGAGTTCCTACCAAAGATATGGGACAATATCTCTTTATTTATATATATATGAACTACATCACTCTCTTCAAGAGGAGAAATTATTATGTTTAGTCACTGGATAGTCCGGAGGTGAATCAGGATGCGTCACATCACCCGGTACACAGCAAAATAACGACGTGGCGCGTCCTGATTTGCCTCTGGACGACGTGTGGTGATCGCAAGCAATAATTTCTCCTGCAAGAGGAGCATTGTGGGAGAACAATTTCGAAATGGAATATTAAAGGCACAAAATCTTGGAGATTCAACAATGACATCGTTGCGAAGTGCGAACCACGACCCAACAAAATCCTGTGTGCGTGGCATGGTTATTGCTAGCATGAGAGAATGGATGTAGCCCAACAATGCTTGTTGCACCTGGTCGCCCTGAATTGATTTGGCCTATTTGGAGCTTTCAACAAATTTGATAATGATGCATCTGGTCTTATCTTGTAACGAACATATTTGTATGAACTTATCAAATCATCAATCAAATTAAAGGTTCGTTTGGGACGGCTGCAACTATTCATAAATTTGGTTAAAAAGCTATTTGTGAGAAAAATAAAAAATTTTATTAAAAAAAATTTAGGGATGGCAAGTTGGCTACACGTCCATAAGATTTTATTATTATTATTATTATTATTATTATTTTGGTCTAAATGTCTAATGAAGGCTTAGATAATGCACCCCACGTTCAAGCCTTTATGTTAATAGGAGTAATTTAATTCATTTGGAATTTTTGTTTTATAATAAATGCTATCAAACTAGCCGCACATTTAAGAAAATAAAGATAAAAAAGCAAAGTAATAAAGTACTTCATATTAAATAAAAAATAAATAAAATACATTATTTATATTTACCTTAGTTTTTTTTATATAGTTTTATAAAATTTTGTGTATTTAAACCGATCAAATTTGAGTTAGATGAGTCCAATGTGAAGCGAATTAGTCCTAAAATAGCATCCATTAGAAGGGAGCAGCTAGCTGGCCTTTGTGGGTGATGATATTCTTTTAGTGATGATCATATTACTTTTTTCTCCATCATCTAATTGGCCTATTCTCTAATTAGGGGTGTCAATATTGGACCCCATCCGAGAATCCGACCCGAAAATTTTGGTTTTGGATTGACCCGAACCCGAAACGTGTCGGATTCGGGTTCAACAATTCGACCCATTTCAAAAATCGGGTCGGGTTCGGGTTGACACGTTGACCCAAAATTGACCTGAAAATGACACATTTTTACCTGAAAACCCATTTTGACCCGGCAACCCGAGATTGACCCGTTTTTTTACCCGAAAAGCAAAATTTGACCCATTTTTGGACCCGAAAACTAGCAGTTTTTTGTCTGACCCGAGTCATTCGGGTCGGGTTCGGGTCCGAAAAAACCAACCCATTTGCAGAAAAGGGTCGGGTTTGGGTTGACTCGAATAATTTCGGGTCAGTTTCGAGTTCGACCCGAATCTGACCTGTGACCCAAAATTGACACACCTAGCTCTAATGTTCCCTAATGACTAGGGTTACGACTTTTGAGATATAAAATACATCCTATATGGCATAAAGTCTTATAGTAGCTAAAGTTGGGTTAAAATTGGTCAATTGGATAATCTTTCACTCTATGGCTATGAGGACCCATTAGATGAAACAACTCATGGATGTTGGAAAGGATTATTAGGTCAAGTCGATTTGATTATCTTCGTTGAAGATATAGATCAAGATACATGATAACCCTAGACTACGGAATAATAAAATCTTAGTTGGATCGCCATCACTCACTCATCGTCTACCATGATAAAATAGGACTACTTAGGCTTCGTTTGGTTCTTCATCTCCTTACGTAAAAGGTAGTTTTGGAAACATTAGTTAAGGGAATTGAGTTTTCAAACGAAAAATCAAATATCAAAAAGCTTCTCAAAACAGTAGAAAAATGAAGTTTCCTAAGAAAATTTCTGTCGAAACGTCTCATCCAAACAACGAACAAAAAAATTATTTCGCCGTTTCTAAACGGAAAAGGTAAAAAAATGTTGAAACAAATGAGAGCTGAATCATAAGAACATAGATTGTATTCATCAGCATTCCCCCACCATCTACCATGAGCAAACAATGATTTTCAGACTAGATTATAAATTAAATGTTGTTGAATAGTTGTAATTAAATGTTCTTTCTTAGTAATATGAATTTATAATAAATATAAGGGATTGTGCTTATGATAATTTTCATGCTAGACAATAAATTTTGCATTATATGGTGAAATATACGAGTAGTGTCTTATGTGATATTCAATTTATCGTCTAAAATCACCCTAAAATAACTCAAATAATCAACATAATTAAGTGGGGATATTTTGGCACACGAAATTACATATTATTAATGAATACTTGTCGATGCGATAAATTTTATTGATATATTGCTCATGGTGAGAGTTACCTAGGAGGCTAACTGGTCGACTCATTAGTAGTTGTGACCAATGTTGATGGGGGTTATCGTCTCACTTCTCTTTTATTTGACCCAGGGGTTTCGATAAAAGACACGACCCATCAACTGATTCAAAAAATTAGGATTCGGGTTGACTCATTTAATAAACGAGTTGGATTTGGGTTGAGTTTAACCCGTGAACCAGTTTTTGACTCGAAAATGACCTATTTAACTTTTTTTTAATGTTTTAATTTTGAGTTTAATCTTCTTATTTTGTATATATTTAAGATATAAATTTTGATATTTAGTTATATATTACATAAATATTTAAATTTTATTAAAAATTTTATTAATATTAATTTTTTAAAATAAAAAAAATAATTTTGTTAATATATTTTAATATGATTAAGATACTAAAATATTATATTAATTTTTTTTCAAAAAATAGTTAGAGTCGCGGAGGGAAAACTACACTTAACGGACTGACCATGGAAGAAGCGTTGTATAGTGGGATTAACCGCAGGTGTCGTCGGCGTACATGGAGCAGTTTTCTCCGGCCAGTTCTTGCTCGAAGGGTCACCGGCGATCATTGGCGGTGGAGACGGCTGCCGGAGGCAGTATCTGCCTCTCTTGCTTTGCCGCGCTCGTGTCCGATTCCCGCTCCCCTACCCACCACGTCTCTTACGCGCTTTCCCAACTCAACCTCACCTTCGACGACCCCGATCTCCTCCTCGAGCTCCGTGAACGCCACGCTTATCTTCTTGTGGCCCCGCTCGTCGCCGCCCTCTCGGCATTCGACGACGAGCCCCTCGCTCGCCAAGTGATGGATGTGATCTCCGATCTCTGTTTTCGGGGGGAAATAAGAAGGTTAGGGTTGGGGGGAGTAAGCGAAAAATTCACCGCCAGCTCTCTGTCTGGCGATTTCATTGCTCGAATAGCGGATCGGCTCGCGTCGGGGGCGCTCGCATGGAGCCGGCGGCATATCTACTTGGTAATTTAGATATCCGCTTCTTTATTTCGCCGTCGATATTTTTAGGTTGTGAAATTTGATTGTTGGCTCAAATGCCGGAGTTGATTTTGAGTTATCAATTGTTTAATATTAGTATTCTTAAGTTTTTTTTTTTTTTGGTGAAGGGCCTCAGTCCACTGTTATATATCGCATGCAGCTTGTTCGGTTGTTGTTCTGTTGTTGTTTTCCTGAATTTTGTTAAATTACTAAGCAGCTCATCGGGAACTGGAAACAAGGAAAGTCTTGTCTGATCTAGTAGCACTTATTAGTTTGACCAGGGTGGGTTGAACCACTACTGTCTACTGAGCTATGCCTGCTGTATGCTGATATTGTAGAGTGCATTCATGTCCTCTGACTCAATATCAAAGAAAATGTGGGATTAAGATTTTGTTAGAAACTAAATCAGTGCGCTACAGCAGTCTTCTGTAAGATTTGAATGCGGAAAGAATTATCTGATTGTTCGTTCTTTTTTAAGAGACTTAGATTGAGTTGAATATTGCAATTTAGATCATAGTTTATGCAATAAGAGTTGGATTTTAGATGTATAATCTCATTACACTACTTTACCTTACTGATTGATTTGGAAATCTAGTGACCATGGAGGCATGTTGAAGTTCTACTATTTCTGATAAATAGCTCATAGGGCATGAACAAATAGTAAAATGAGTAGGTTGCCTAGAAAAAGTAGAATTTTGCAAGATGATGTAAGTTAATGCTGCTTAGACTTATAAATATGCTTTAGTGGGTTCCTTGGAGAGTTTTTATGTCTTCTTTTCCAAAGGTTTTGCTTTTGCCATTGGTTTTTTGTTCCATGACTCATTATTACCTTCTGAATTCATCGTTTAAGTTGCACTGCTTTGGAGTGCTCCTAAATTCTCATCAGGGTAGTAGCCCGGCAGCTCACATCAGGGAACAAGATGCCCTTTTCTCCAATCTCCTTTTTGGTCTCCAGCTCCCAAGGTGAGAAAAATATGTTGCGAGGAACCTCTGAAATGTTAAAATTTACCACCAGTTAATTAATCAGTTTGTGAATTTCCCTACACTCTCCTTTGACTGCAGCGAAGAATTGCGTGGGGAGGTGTTGTTTGTGATTTATAAGCTATGCCAGCTCAATGTTACTCCATGGGAGAATGTTGATGATGATGAAAACGACTGTGTGGAATCCTTGGACGCCATGGCAAGTTCCTTGTGGCGTCTTGCATTAGAAATTCTGCTTAAAACCCAGCATGACGAAGTTCGCATTAACTGTTTGGGTAGATCACAAACTTCTTAAATGGTTACAGCTCATGTTTTGCCAGCATTGCATTCTTTTGATCACAGTTGGCCTGCTTAGAAACTTTTCCGTTCTCGCGTTTATCACATTTTGTGGTTTACCACATTGGCCTTATTTATCTATTTGGGGGCATAAGTAGAGAAAAAAAAAAGTGAAATTTACATACATACCACGTTATTTCATGCTATTTACATATCTAACACTTAAAATATTAATATTACATGTCTACCACCCATATACAAATTTAATATCAAATATACCACTCCTATAATTCATTTCTATCATTCATACCATCCTATAAATTTTAATATTTCATTTCATTCACCCAAATTTGTTCTATGGATGATAGACATGTAATATTAATATTTTGAGTGTTAGATATGTAAATAGCATGAAATAAAGTGGTACGTATGTAAATCCCCAAAAAAAAAAATTGCCGCATCATGCTTTGCTGACAATCATTTTGTAAGATACATTTCTGTATAATTCATCATCAAAGAATCTCTTAGTATTGTTAGGTTTTTTTCTCTGAGTAACAAATCCTGTGGTTTATCTTTTGACAAAGTCATGCTGATGTGATTCCACTTATAATTAGTTTTGTATTTAACATTGGATTAATTAGGAGTTAATTAACTTACAGCGTTGTCTATAAATATGACCCATTAGAGGAACGATGGATATGAAAATGAATGAATGATTGTACCTAATTCTTCTTTTCTTCTTTCTTTGGGAGTTTAAACAGCTTGAAATGTTTAAGATGAGATCAGGATCTCATCAGGGGCAGTTAGAGTTTCAGAGAAAAGGAAGAGTGGATGCGGACCAGTAGAAGGAAGGGTGGGGTTTTTTGTAAGCCTTAGAAAAGAGGAAGGAATGCTTAGGAGCTCTAGATTTGCAGTCAAGAATTTTAGTGAAAATTATTTTACTCTTCTGTATATTATATAAGTTTTCATGTATCATGTCAAAAGCTTATTATAAATCAACAATGACAAGCAAGTTCTCGGGACATAAATATAAGCTTAAACTAGATAACTGAGAAAACTGGAACCATTTTTGGAATTGACTCTTGTAATGATGATCACGGTTAGGTCGGCAAATGTGCTCTCCAGGACTAATAGAAAATGCTATATTGAATGAGAAGAAATAGTTACGTGCTCATTTGCAAGATTCAGTTTTGTTTAACTCATTGCAAAGTACCTATTCCCTGGTATATGTTGTGTAAATCTTTAAAGATGAAGATGCAGCTAGTTGACAGTTGGTTTTGTATTCTCCTTTCTTTTATGCTCACATAAGCTAGATGGTTGCTAACTTTCACAGCTTTACTCTTGGTATTGGTTGGGAAGGGTCTTTTTCAGAACTTGTTCGTAGATAATATCCCTGGCATTGATATCAAAGAAACAAAGGCAAATGGAGACGGACTAATGCAGCAATGTCCTCTTATTACCCTGTTTTCTGATGCAATCAAAGGCTCTTTGCTTTCTTCTGACGAGGGAATACAAATCAGCACATTAGACTTGATCTTTCACATGATATCACCAGAAAACTGTTCCATTAATCAACTTAGAGTTCTTGTAGAGGAAAATATTCCAGATTATATATTTGAAATCCTCAGATTGTCAGGTAAAGTGCTTGCATGAATGTCTGATTAAAGTATCGAAAGATGTGTGTTTTCTTATTGTTTTCTATTGATTTCATGTAGGGAATAAGGATCCTGTGGTTATCTCCTGCCTACAGCTTCTAGCTCTCTTTTCTACTTCGGAGGAAGTCTTCAAACAAAAACTTGTAGTTGGATTTTCGACATTGCTTTCTGTTTTGCATTATACATCACAGATACCTCTGCATCCTGTCCAACCTCATGCACTAACGCTTGTCTGCAACTGCATCTCATATTCCCCTGGTATAATGTCCATATCCCAAGTGACAGAAGTAGCTTTAATTTTGACATGTATACTAAGGAGGTGCATGAACGGAGAGCTTCCTGAAACCTTCATCTTGGCATGTTCAACATTTGTGGAAATTCTGAAGTCACCATCTGCCTATGGAATCAAGAAGATAGGAGATATGATCAAAGAAGCATCAAGGTGTGCAGTTTTATCTTCGCTTTCTTTCCCTCAAGGAAATCCTGCTGCACTTATGATGCATTCCCTGGCTCTTCTGAAGGAAGCCCATGCATATAGTCGTAGGGAAGATGGCAGTGGCAACTCTGATGAGGAACTGGAGGAAAACATAATGGTAACATGCCAAAACTATCTGTTACCTTGGCTGGAAAAAATTATAAATGAAGAAGTCGAGGAGGATGTGATACAAGAAATCGTTCAGACATTTCATCTCGTCTTGCTAAGTGGTTCTGAAGCCCAGACCCAGACATTCGCAAATAATCTGATTTCTTCTAATTTGCTCACTTTGTGCTTTGCTTATTTGGGTCTATTTCCAACTGATCAGATGAGATCAAGTGTGTATTTGATTCTTGGTTCACTAATTGATCGAGCTTTTGGTCCTAGCTTTGGGCAACCCTTGCGAGATGCTTTGTTTTACCTCCCAGTGGATCCTCTTGATTTGATATTTTTGTTGGGACAGAAAAGCTCTATTGATCCTCAACTAGCTTTGTGTCAACGTGCTTCACTTTTGCTTTTATATGTTAGCTCGCTCTCAGGTGAAAGGTAATTTTATTTTCAAAACCATACAACGTTGCCCATAGGATGTAGGATAATAACCTATTTTATAGTCATCACGATTCTTCCATTCAGGTTTGCTGATGATACTCAAGTTTTGGCTTCATTAGAGCAATATATTCTTGTTAATAGCAACAATTTCTTTTGTGGGACTGGAGATTCTTTAATGTTAGCTCAATTGGTGCATCTCTATGGACTTTACCGAGGTTCCCAAAGGGATGAGAAGATGTCATATAGTCCCGAAGCTGAGAAAACACTGCTTAATTTACTAGCCAGAGATGATCTGGAATTATTCTCCTTTGGCATACATCCGATGGCGTTGAAATGGCTTTTCCAGCAAGAAAGAATTATGACTTACTTGTCTAACCAGATCTTGAAGTTTTGTAGGCTCTCTAGAGCAAATGAGTCCCAGCTTATTGTCTATTCATATGGAAGCCAAACAATGAACATGCAACTGATTTCAGAACTGGTGGTATCTGGAGATAATTACGTTGCACAACTGCTGGTGTCACTTCTGAGAGAACTTCAGGGAGAAGGTGGTGAAGATGACATGATATGTGTATTGAATACAATGACCGAAATACTGAAGAAATTTTCTGACGCTTCTATCCAGCTCTGCATGCATAGCTTTTCTGGTGCAATTCGCAGCATCTACTATTCACCAAATTGTTCTCCACAGCTCTTCTCAAGCTGCTCTCTGCTGGTTTTTCATGTTCTTTATACTACAAGCCACAACGTGCTCTCTCAAGAGGGGGAGTGGCTTGCAGTTACAGTGAAGGTACCAAAATTCCCTCATATAAGTTTAGAATATGTTCATCGTCTTTTACTTATATCTCTGTTGGGAATTTTTGAGGAGAAGAGATTCTTGTTGTTCTTTCAGGGGGTAAGCATAATTTGGAGCTAAATAATAATAAAGTTTTATTCAGCTTTTCTCACAATACATAAACCTATAGCATTTATATATATGCATTTTATAATGGTGTGATGTCTTGCAAAATAATTTAACCTAAAATTGGACCAATCCTAGCAGTCTCCACCTTGGTCCAGATTTTGCAATGAATATCAAAGAACCACCTGTTTGCAAGAATCCGCTCCTATTGCGATATGACCGGCTCCCTGCATTAACTCCACGAGCAAACCCGTTGAGCTGATCCCAATCACATGTCTGGGCCTGTCCCCAGCTCGCGCTCTCACGCGTTCTAACCCACTCATGTCTGGGCCCGTCCATGTTCCTCTCGTGATCCGCATGCCCGTGCCTTGTGCATCACCTGCTCTTGCGCGGCATGCCCGCGCTCCAGCACCGAGCACCCTCCGGCTCGCCCGTCTTCCCCAACAAATCTAGGAGGAAGGATATTGATTCTTGCATTACTGGTTACAATAGCTGCACCTTTTTTTCCCTTTGTCAGACTTCCTGCCTAGACCGAGAGAAGGAGCCTTGTCTGAACTGTAGCATTGCTTCTTCTTGGCTAGACCGAGAGCCACTATCATAACCGAATCACGCTAGGGAGCATGTAGAAGATGGAGGAAAAACAAGAACAGAGAATCAAGATCAAGAACTGGAAGAGACTTGTTTGGGTCAATCAATTCTTGAACAGATACATTGACATCTTATTCAAATGCAATAGGGGAAACAAGAATTACAAGACAAGAGGATAAAACCCTTCCTAGCTATCACGCCTGGGTAACCCATCTGTCTCAAGCCCCGAGCACTCCAGCCACCCCTTCTTATTTTTTTCCTGTTCGGACTTCATTAGCCTACATGCATGACCTGTCCACCAATCTAGCGTGCATCTCTGCAAGAAAACTCTGGCCCGATCCCAGTGTTTCCTGCACGTCAACAGTCTCTCTCTCTCTCTCCCGCACACCCGATCGTCTGGAGCCAACATGCCCCGGTGCAAAGCCTAGCGCACGTCCGTTTAAACTCCACCCGACGTCCGTTTAAACTCCACCCGAAGCCTAGCAATCTGCCTGCTGCAAACTTGTGGCAACCTCTGCTCCATTCCGCACTACAACACGAGCAACTTGATTCGCGCGACCTCCGCACCTTTGCGCCCAGCGTGACACGCACGTTTCACATCCCTGCTCCAGCACATGTCAGTGGCAGCCTGTTGACCTCTGGATCAAATCCAAAAGAGCAAAAAGAGAGAAACCAAAAATCAAACGTGCATACCTGCTGTAACTGTCGGATCCTCAAAATCTTCCTGAAATCCCGCCGAATCGCTGTGCAGTCGGCGCCGCTCCGAAAATCCTGCTCAAAATCTGCGATCCTCTCCTCGATCGAGCCTCGTTTGTCTCGTTAAATACTGACCCAAACAAAGCCTTCCGCTGGTCTTCTCCAGTTCGATCCCACACACGACTCTCTCCCACTGCCGAGCTCCAGTCGCTACCTTCTCCACTGTCGACGCTCTTCCACACGACCACATCCCGCTGCCTCCCTCTCTGCCCTAACCAGTCCCTTGTCCGATCTCCTTCAGCCGAGAGAGAGAGAGAGTTTTCGTTATCTTCTTTTCCTGTACAATTAAAGGTTATACGATACAGAATGGCGTAATGCTACTACGATCGAAATTAGGAAAGGTTGACTGAATAATAGAGACTGGATTTTTTTATAAGTACACCATATTCGATGAGCTTTGCTATCATTTTTTTTTATCAATGAATCATGAGCTTATGCAGATTGATAGCAAGGAAATATCTTGCAGTCCCAGCATCGGTAATGCTTTGCTTTCATTCTCTAGCACAACTCACAATTGTGCAAACAAAAGCCCTTAGTTTGATCAACTAAGGTCAACATCCTTGGAGGGATGCCCTATGTGCTGCAGTTAATGACATTATGGTTACCGGAATTTCATTTTGTTTCATGCATATCTTGCTCTCTTTTGTCAAGTGGTTTACATCTCAAGTGCATGGAATTGTGGAAATAGGGTGAGAATTTTCAATCTAAATTCTTAGGCAGATCAGTGTCAGTCACTGAAACCACTTGACCGTTAAAATAGTAGTTTCTGGAACTATTGGAGTAGAATTGTAAAAAAAAAATCCTTTAAAAGTTGCTTATACCTGGTGCTATGCAAATCATTTAGTAATAACATATAAAGGAAGAGGAGATTCAGAGTACATAAAGAATTATCTTTAACACCTAATGATGAATAATACCATCGTCGTTTCTAAATTTCTCACACAGAAGTCCATTTTCTGCATGGAAAATATTATCCGGTTAATTTCTTCATACAGCTGCTGGAATACGTTAATCCTAAGCTGGCTTCTCAGCTCTGGGGTCAAGACGAACTCCTGGTAATTAGCATTTTTTGTCTCATTCTCCACCATTCAAGAAACCAGGTGCTTGAAGAAGCTTCAAAGGCCATACTGCTAAATAGTGCTTTGGCTTCAGCTGTTGAGAATATAGTCCAAACATCCATCGCAAAAGGTCCAGCTTTAGTAGATCATGATGAAGAAATGGAGACTCGAGAATGCTTACCTTTTTATCTTTTACTGTATTTCTTTTCCTTAAATAGGTAAGACATCAGCTCCATTAGGAAAGACTAGGGCTTCGTTTGGGACGGCTTTCTTCCTGCTTAAAGCAGCTTTTCACTACAAAATTTTAATTTTTTTACTAAAAAACTGCTTTAAGAAGTGGTAAAAAAGCCGTCGGCTTCTTTTGCTTGAGTAAAGCCCAGCTAACAACTTTATTTTCAGTTCTTATGCTACTATACAAGATTGTCTGGATTGGCAAGACTTTCTTCAATCATCCAATACTGCTCCACCGACATTGTTAATCTCTATAAAATGTCATGATTTATGCCGGTTGATGCACTTTGGGTCTTCTCTGATCAAGTCACTCTCATCACAGTGCCTGGTTGAAATGCTTAGCAGAATCTCAGATCAGAGAGAAAGAAACCAAGAAGAACTTAGATGCTCAGCAAGATATCTACAATCAATGATAGCCGTTATGGAAAGCCTAGTTTTCTATGAAGAGAAAGCTGTAGCCACAAACTGCGGTATATGTTTATCTAAAATTCTAAGTTGTAAGAGCCTGGGTTTGGGAGAAAAGATGGTGATCAGAAATTGTAAATGGTTCAGGATGATAATGGAGGAGTTCACAATGACCTTAACAGCTCCCAGTATGGCTTCAAAATACTTCAAAAATCTGCACAAGCCTGCTTCACGCATAGCAACTGCCTTGCTCAGGCTAGAACAAACACCTCAATGGATGAGATCTGTATTTGACATTTCTTGCATTTCTGGAGTAGTCAGCAATCTATGTGCACAAAACTTGAGTGCAGAGATGGTTGATCTGTTCAGAGCACTTCTGTCAAGGAAATATCTAAATGAAGAACATGTTGGGTGCCTAAATCAAATTTTTCAGGTAAAGCTTTCTCTCAGTTGCAGTTTCTATATTCTCTTCTCACTTTTTGGTCTTTTATAATGGACACCATTAGTTCTTTTTATAATCCACAAAACAATAACAACAACAACATCAAGCCTTTGTCCCACTACGTGGGGTCGGCTACATGAATCCTTTTTCCCAATGTGTCATGTTAAAAGTCAAATTATCATTTAAATTTAATAAAGAAAGATTATTTCTAATATTTTCTAACCATGTCTTTTTAGGTCTACCTCTACCTTTCTTAACATAAGTCAAATCTAATACCTCAACTTTCCTAACCGGATCAGCGGAAGGCTTCCGTTTAATGCGACCAAACCATCTATGGCGACTCTCTCTAATCTTGTCTTCCACTGAAGCTACTACAACCTTTTCACGTATATGCTTATTTCGTATCATATCTCTAAGGGTAAAGCCACTCATCCACCTAAGCATCCTCATCTCTGCAACACTTAACTTGGTATTATGCTTCTCTTTTAATGACCAACATTCAGCACCATAAAACATTGCAGGTCTCACCACCATCTTATAGAATTTTCCCTTAAGTTTGAGGGGGATTTTTCTATCGCACAACAAGCCCGATGCATTCCACCGCTTCAACCATCCAACTTGAATTCAAACAAAATTATATTGCAATCATCTCAAAATTAATCTAATGATTTTAAGACACATCCTTACCAAAAAAAAATCATTGAGATATCCTAAGCCATTTTATTTCCACCATGAGTTCGTTTAAACATACAAGGAACATGAACCAACTCCACCTTAATGAATAATGCTAATGACTGTGATAATGATTTGGTGAATCTTATGACATCTCTCTTAGGTTTCGTTTGGGACAGCTTTTTTACTGTTTTGAAAATCAACTTTTTTATTATAAAATTTTTTATCCTAAAGAGCTGCTTTATAAAGCATTAAGAAAGCCGCCCCAAACAAAGCCTTAATCCTTATCACCACTTCAGCATTCATACACAAGAGAAATTATTTTGTGCGGTCACCGAACGGTCTAGAGGCGAATCAGGATGCGTCACGTCACTTCGTACACATCAAAAAATGACATGGCGCATCCAGATTCGTCTCTGGATGCCATATGGTGACCACACAGAATAATTTCTCCATCCACAAACTTTATTTCTTGGCTATGTTTCATGTAAAATGCAAGGAAAGAAATTCGTAAATTTTGACACTCTGTTGATATTGCAGGTCTGCAGAAAACAAGCGTACAAGGATAGTTCTAAAGGCAAAGCACATGATAGTTCAGCTAACAGTTTCATTTCCAGCAATGCTGATTTTGGTAAAATATGCAACCTTCTTGTTCACCTTATGATGTCTCCTGTTTATAGAGAAAAAGAAACAGATCAAGAGAGGCTATTGAGAGAGATTGATATGTTTTATAGAGAGTTATCAATAGATGGTAGGTGTGAGTGATGCTCCTTAAATCCAAAAAACTTCCATAAGCTCATTAAATGTTCAAATTAATATCATAGAAATTATGCATCATTTTGTATAATGAATTGCTAATTTGAGGAGTAAAGCTTGTTTTTTTATTTAACTCTTCATAAGTTAGACATAAATTTCTAGCATAATAAATTGATTTTATTTTATAACATCAAATAATACTAATTATTATAAACACAATATTTTTATAAATACACTAGTTGTAATGTCAAAATTAATTGACCAAAAAATCACTTTTATTTTACTCTGGATCTATCTAACCAAATAAGGGAAACAGTTTTCCTGCGTTTATTTTACAGAGAACCAAACAGTCTCAAAGTGTTCGGAATGTACTATATTAACTTTACTCTGCATTTTCTTTTTCAGGCAACTAAACAACCCCTAAGTCAAGCCAGCTTGTAAATCCATTCAAGTTTGACTTGATAGATGGCTCATAAATCGAACTTGATGAGCTAACAAGGCAAGTTCGAGTCAAGCCTAACTTGATTCATTAGTTCATGAGCTGATTCGTTTAAAAAATATTAATATAAAATATAAATATATTAACATTGAAATACAAAATTATTAAAAATATTAAAATATATAGTTTACTTTATTATATTATATTTTTTTTCTTCTAATTTCTCATTATTTTTATTATATTATTATAATAATTATTTGAATCATAATCATCCTCTCTTTCAAAATAAATGCATAGAATAGGCTAGTTAGTCGGCTTAAACTCAAAAAATAAAAAACAAACTCAAATTCAATTACTTAATCAAACTCAAATTCAAGCCAGAGATGACTTGAGATCGATTTGACTCATTTACACCCCTAATTAGACGGCAGATCGAATAATCTGACTCAAGTTGAGGCCAATACATTAGCAGTAGGAACCCAAATTATTAAATTATTACAATGCTTTTATTATAAGGTTAAAAAATTTTACTTTTTAAGTTGTTATGAGAAACATTTTATAAAATCTAATTATATCACATAAAGTGGAGCTTACCTAATCGTGCATTCGATTAAGTTTTCATTTGGTAAAGCTTTGAATTACTATTTTTTCTCTGCTTTTAAAAATTTTTTATACTAAATAATAACTTTACAAAGCAATAAAAAAGCCTCCCAAAAGAAACCTAACACAAAAGTTATTAGCAGATACAGAAATAGAGAAGCGCCTTTTCAACTACCTCCTTGCTCCAATAAATCATGCAAGATAATACACAGAACCCTAAACCATTCTGAACAGTTCAAGCATACTAAACACACAACATAGCATCAATTTCTCCTCACAAATGTTTACTGCATATATCAATAAAAAAGTTCAGTTAGTGTCAAAATTTTACTAGTTTTGCTTCAAACCTTGGTTGATGAGCTAACTCTTTCTAAAGCAGAGATGCTTAGACTTGGCTAACAGTGCATTTATCAACCCATTATCATTTCTATGTAGAGAGCTGAATAAAAAGTAGATTCTAGTATCTTCTGAACTCCTTGGGTGGCCTGAAATTAAGAGGATAGGCTTCTGGTGTGGCCATCTCATCTTCCTTCCACATCTTGATGGTCTTGTCAGCTTCACAGGTAACTAGTCTTGTACCACTCACATCATATGAAAGAGCATATATGCATGCTTCACTATCAAGTGATCCTGATAGAGATAAAACAATCAGTCAAGATTGTCACTGCCTGATCCTTATCCAAAATTTAGGCTTCGTTTGGGACGGCTTTCTTAATGCTTCTTAATATGGCTTTTTAAAATTTTGGTACTAAAAAGCTGCTTTAAGAAGCAGAAAGAAAGCTGTCCCAAATGAAGCCTTAGTTCACTCACCAGGTTGAACAATTGCCTGGGCTTGCTGGAAGCAGTGGCCACTTTTCCAGTCCCAGAACCAAAGGCTTCCATTGTCACCTTTCAAAAACAGAGAAAAGTTACATTGTGCATGCAAATGATTCCACTATTTCAGGTTAGAAAACAGATTTTTTTTATAGAGATATTATACCTGCAGTGGCAAGGATGCCATCTTCATTTACTGCCACTGAATTTACAATCGACTTCTGCTGTGATCTGAAAATAAGTTTTTGAATTGGATTTAAAGAATGAAGAGCATTATTTATCTCTCATCTATTAGGCATAACTGTATTTACAAGATATATGCATTCATTGCATGTCAAGACAGAATATTGCAAATATCTTTAAGGTATAAATGATGGGTTGCACAAAGAGAAGCAAAAAGGATAGGTAAAGAGAATGGAAACACTAATTCAACGATTAAAGAGTAATAAAAATGAAAAAAAAAAATGTTAGGATATACTAACATAAATTGTATCAAGTTGAGCCATTAAATTTGTTTTGACATTAGTATAATATAACCTCTTCATATACAACACTAATCTCAAGATAAATCTAATGATTTTTAAGCTCATTTCATTGAAACCCAACCAAAATCACCAAAACTTAGAACCATGCTTCAGACGCATACAAGGAATATAAATCAAACAAATATTGTGTAATATACTTGTTGCTTTGATATTCATTCTAACCAAATCAATTTTACCAAATTTCTGCTTTTTTTCTGAGGATACTTAATTTTGTTAACTTTATCAACTTTGCAGAAGCAATTAGACACCACCTCAAACATATCAGGTCAGGTTAGCTGAAATCTGAAGATTATCTGCACCTACATTTTTCAACACAACAATTTGTGATTTTGCCTAATAGGATAATTATAACCAATTTTTATAAATAGACAACTTGATCAAAATGGCATAAACTCTAGTTTTAGGGTCTATTTGTTACAACTGTAGTATTTTTCACAGTTTGTTGTCAAGTTATTGTTGGGAAAGCAACTTACCTATCATGGTTGCAAAAAATAGTTTTCCATCACAAAAATTTTGAAAAGTTGTGACAAAGTAACAAGAAAATAGCAACAACAACATCATCAAGCCTCTATCCCACTGCGTGGAGTCGGCTATATGAATTATTTTTCTCCATTGTGTACGGTTAAAGATCAAATTCTCATTTAAATCTAATAAAAAATGTCATATCCAAAATTTTCTAACCAAATTTTTTTAGATATATCTCTACATTTCTTAATGTAGGTCAAATATAATATATCTACTCTCCTAACCTGGTTATCAGAAGGCCAACGTTTTATGTGATCAAATCATCTAAGAGGACTCTATCTAATTTTATTTGCCACTGGAGCTACTCTAACCTTTTCAGATATAAACTCGTTTCGCATTTTGTCTCTAAGAGTGAAGCCACTCATCCACCTGAGCATCCTCATCTCTGCAAAACTTAATTTTATGCATCTCTCTTTATAGCAAGAAAACAACGTCCAAATAAAATTGTGGCTACTATCTGAAAAACAAAGCAGCCAAAAAACAGTACCAAATAGACCCTTAGTCTCTCATCTTAATGCTTTATGCAGGCAAACATTTCATTCAATATTTGCTTGCTTAAGTAATAGACAAGACGTTCATTGCTCTGATCACATCATATGCATTTTAAAGATTGGGTGCAACACATTGTTTTGAGATCCTCATAATTATCACTGGAAGGGCTACATCAGTTAATATGATTGCTATATTGCAGGCAAAATCAATCAGATTTCTGGAGGATCAATAGCTTTTAAAGGGTTAGTTCTCGTAGCTATATAGCACCTAGTAGTACTAAGAGCAGCAGGTACTTCTGTTAGATAAGGAATGGCAAGCACAAATTTCACTTAAGATGTAATTTTCAAGTAATGTGATCTGTTTGTCGAAATGTAACAAAGTGCGAGTAGTTTATAGCAGAAACTCACAGCATATTGTGCAAAAATTCACCCTTTCGTTTGGGACGGCTTTCTTAATGCTTCTTAATATGGCTTTTTAAAATTTTGGTATTAGAAAGCTGCTTTAAGAAGCAGAAAGAAAGCTGTCCCAAATGAAGCCTTAGTTCACTCACCAGGTTGAACAATTGCCTGGGCTTGCTGGAAGCAGTGGCCACTTTTCCAGTCCCAGAACCAAAGGCTTCCATTGTCACCTTTCAAAAGAAGAAAAGTTACATAGTGAATGCAAATGATTTCACTATTTCAGGTTAGATAACAGATTTTTTTTTTTATAGAGCTATTATTATACCTGCAGTGGCAAGGATGCCATCTTCATTTACTGCCACTGAATTTACAATCGACTTCTGCTGTGATCTGAAAATAAGGTTTTGAATTGGCTTTAAAGCATAAAGAGCATTATTTATCTCTCAGCTATTAGGCACAACTGTATTTACAAGATATATGCATTCATTGCATGTCAAGACAGAATATTGCATATATTTTTAAGGTTTAAATGATGGGGGGTTGCACAAAGAGAAGCAAAAAGGGTAGGTAAAGAGAGAATGAAAACACAAATTTAACAATTATAGAGTAATAAAAATGAACAAAAATTGTATCAAGTTGATCTTAAAAGCCATTAAATTTGTTTTGACATTAGTATAATATAACCTCTTCATATACAGCGGTAATCTCAAAATAAATCTAAAGTTTTTTAAGCTCGTTTTATTGAAACCCAACCAAAATCACCAAAACTTAAAAATATGCTTCAGACATATACAAGGAATATAAATCAAACAAATATTGTGTAATATACTTGTTGCTTTGATATTCATTCTAACCAAATCAATTAGACACCACCTCAAACATATCAGGTTAGTTAAAATCTGAAGATTATCTATGCCTATATTGTTTAACACAACAATTTGCAATTTTGCCTAATAGGATAATTAGAACCAATTTTTATAAATAGACACCTTGATCAAAATGGCATAAACTCTAGTTTTAGGGTATATTTGTTACGACTGCAGTATTTTACAAAATTTGTTGTGAAGTTGTTGTGGGGAAAACAACTTACCTATCATGATTGCAAAAAACAATTTTCCATTACAAAATATTTTGACAAGCAATGACAAAGTAACACGAAAATAGTAACAACAATATCATCAAGCCTCTATCCTGCTAGTGGTGTCAGCTACATGAATTATTTTTCTCCATTGTGTCATGTTAAGGGTCAAATTCTCATTTAAATCTAATATAAAAAAGGTCATGTCCAATATTTTCTAACCAAGTTTTTTTTGGATCTATCTCTACATTTCTTAACATAGGTCAAATCTAATACATCTACTCCTAACCGGGGTCATCGGAAGGCTGACGTTTTATGTGATCAAACCATCTAAGAGGACTCTCTCTAATTTTATTTTCCACGGGAGCTACTCCAACCTTTTCATGTATAAACTAGTTTCACATTTTGTCTCTAAGAGTGAAGCCACTCATCCACCTGAGCATCCTCATCTATGCAAAACTTAACTTAATTTTATGCGTCTCTCTTGATAGCAAGAAACAACATTCAAACAAAATTGTGATTGCTATCTGAAAAACAAAGCAGCCAAAAAACAGTACCTAATAGACCCTTAGTCTCTCATCTTAATGATTTATGCAGGCAAACATTTAATTTAATATCTGCTTGCTTAAGTAATAGACAAGACGTTCATTGCTCTGATCACATCATATACATTTTAAAGATTGGGTGCAACAAATTGTTTCGACATCCTCATAATTATCACTGGAAGGGCTGCATCAGTAAATATGATTGCTATATTGCAGGCAAAATCAATCAGATTTCTGGAGGATCAATAGCTTTTAAAGGGTAGTTCTCGTAGCTATATAGCACCTAGAAGTACTAAGAGCAGCAGATACTTCTGTTAGATGAGGAATGGCAAGCACAAATTTCACTTAAGATGTAATTTTCAAATAGGTTGATCTGTTTGTCAAAACGTAACAAAGTGCGAGTAGTTCGTAGAAGAAACTCACAGCATATTGTGCAAAAATTCACCCTTTGGCAGACTAAACTTCTTAATATTATCTGCCGATCCTGATACAAAAGTTTGCCTGCCAATTAATTACATATGAACAACTAAGTCAAACAAACCTATAATGAATAAGAAAAGGAGCAATTTTTTTGTTTAAAATTTGGTGCAGAGAAAACCATGCAGATCAGTGTAAGTTGAGTGAACTTACTCTGTTGGATGCAACGCTAATGAACGAACAGATTTCTTATGGTGGGTTAGTGTTAACATTGTCTTCCCTGTGTAGAGAAATTTTTAGAATCAGATATGACAGATTATGAACAATTTTAAAATTTGATAATGATAATTACCAGCAACAAGATCCCAAAACTTGATAGTTGTGTCATGAGAGCCAGTTACAACTTGTGGATCCTGAAGATACAAAAGACCAATGAGATAAATCAAAATATATATATATATATATATATATATATAAATGATGCATATATGTGTGAATAGTCCAAATAGTATGAAGTACAAAATATACTTTTTTATCCCTTATTATAAGGTTAAGAGGGCTAAAGAGAAAGCTACATATAGAGTAAAATGATAAAATAATAAATGATGTGATAAGTACAGACTAATGCAAACACCTGAATTGAGTTGGATAATACACGTGGGTCTCTTCCTCTGAAGTTCTCTAGCAAATATTTGGGCTAGTTTGCAAGAACTAATATGTAAGACGAGTTTGCAAAAGCAAGTCCCAATGAATAAGAGGCGAGTCCTCATGATTGAATGACAAAATCCTTGGGTGCAAGTAATTGAGAGCCAAGGACAAGTTCAGTCAATGAAGTCGTGCTTGTAGGCTTTATATGCATGTGCTTCCTATAGCTTGATTGAGGGCATCTATGGAACGCAGGTGGCTCTGATTGCAGGCAATTACTGTGGGAGAGCGAGTTCTTTTAGGAAGATTGCCCCTCAGGGTGAAGACCTATCTAGGCAAGTCCTTTAGATGAAACTACCAAAAATGAGCATATCTTCAATCTTATCCCTCATTGGCAAGCTTATGCGCCGCAAGCTCTACTGAGGTGAGTGGCAACTTGCTCACTGGTTGATAATGGCGACTATACTGTAGTGAGAGGCTTCCTTTGGGGCAAGGCTTATTTTGACAGCATGCTCCTAATCGAGTCCCGCAGAAAGAAACCTACTTAGATATCCAGAAGTTAACTAAATGGTCATATATGGGTATACATTTAATTCTCCGATTCATTTGATCCATCGCAGAGCGACTTACAAAAAAGAACAAGTAAATATAAGAAGAAAAGTATTTAATGTCTTCACCAATTGATAAAAGGGAAAGTAAATGAGAATTACTAACCTATTTTTACTATTGCCTTGAGTGAAGCGCCCTCCAAAATTCTCATTATGACATTGATTTGGCCACTACACTATCTCTAGCTATAAATAATGGTGAGGGGTGATGCTGTGGTTGCACTCCTCTTCCTTTGTTTTAAATGTTTTCTACTAACTCAATTGAGAGATGACTGACTTAAACCCTTGCGGGTAATGGACAGTAAAGAGATAAGGAAAGCACTTCTATATAAACACAACCCAGTGGAAATTGAGGGAAAGAAGTCCAACAAGTCCGCATAGAAGAATAAGGCAACTATGGTTGGGCCGAGTAGCTACTAGGGAGGAGCCAAGTCAAACTATAGAAGTATAGTCGGCAAGGAAATAGAGATTAGGCTCAGTAAGTCCAAGGTAACCCAGCTGACAAGGTGATGACGGTTGTGAAGAACCAAGGTGAGGATCACCCTTCGTGAGTTCTAATGATGTGGCTCTCACTAAAAGGCACACTAAGCAAGTCTCTGCATTGTAGGAAAGTTGTCATGAACCAAAGGTGGTGAATGCAATCTTGAAGTGGCAACTCCTCCTCCAAAAATAGTGCCAACTCAATCTCTTGTGAAACCCACTAAATCTTATGACCCCATGCTAGAGAAAGTTGACAATCGTAAACGACAAGAAGAGGTAAGAAGAGTTATTTCCTATTTTCAAACAAGTTAAATTTTTTTGTTGTGTGTCGCCAAACTCAAGCAAACCAAGTGTTCACCTGACCTTGAGCTAATTTCTAGGTCACCTATCAAACATGTAGGAGACTTCGGCACTGAATCGATGAGCTCCAAGCTTGTACAAGAAAACCATGGACCTCCACAATAGGCTGCTAGAGACTACTCTTAGTTTATTGGATAAAGAGTTGCCTTTTCTTGATTCTTCTCTCATACTATAGAGGTTGCACCATTGATGCAGGGTATGGCAGGCCAACACACACCTCGACCTCTATAAGAGACTATTTTGTGAGAAGAATGTTGAGGTCTCAAAGGTTGAGCATACAAGGGAGTAGGTGTATCCATCCCCAATCCAAGAACTCCCTGCTACCTTGCCGGTGATAACTCACTCCCCACCCATTGGTGGACAGGTTGTTGAGATCCTTGCCTTAGCGCCATTTTCCTTGGAAGCTATCACTAAGTGAGTTCATGTCTTAGAGAAGGAGCTTGCCCGCTCTCGAGCTGAGTCCAAGAAAAGGATTGAAGCCTTGGAGCTCAGCAATGGACCCCAACACTATGCAAGAGGTGTTAGAATTGAGGGGTAATGTGATAGTAACTCTCTGACTCCTGAAGTCGTTGCAGTTTGGTCGGTGTCCACTTCATCATATGACATCTAATAAGAAATGAGTAGTACCTATTGACCTCTTGTTAGATTCATTGTATAGGTTATATCCATTAGAGTGAGTAAGCTCCCCTACATGTAATATAATTTGGTAAGAAATTATGTATGTAAAAAGAAGTAATGAAAGTTTCCAAGTGTCGTGTATTCTTTTTGTTTGTGATTGCGAGTTACATCTTTGTTACTTTCTTTTGTTACTTGTTTCTTTTAAGATGACATTAGTATTTTAATGCGAAGATTTTTTTTTTTAATCTTTCCACATGCAAGTGACTATGATTTATAATTTTCTATTGATGATGACTCAATTTTTTAGATATAATCCGTATAAAAGGGCTATATGGAAAGGTACACCTAAAAAAAAAAAAAGATAAATGATCAAATACATAATGACACTGAGATGTGGACTAATGGTGCACATGTGACATTTTGACGCTGACGTGATCCTCTAGCAGCTTTTGGTATGTAATGGTGAGATTTTGGGGGCGAGTGCCTTAAGAGAGTATGCGTAATTGATATGTAATGAGAGTTTATGAAGGTGAGTCCTTAAGAGTGAATGGCATGTTACATGGGTGGACGTGGTTGAAAGCAGGGGAAAAGTTCAATTAGTGAAGAGGTGATCATAGGCTTTATAGATATGTGCTTCATGTGTCTTAATTAGGAGCATCTTTGGAAGGTGGGTGGCCTTAACTGCAGATAATTGTTGTGGGAGAGCGATTTCTCTTGGGGTGAGTGCCCCTCAGGACATAAGGCTGTTTGGAGAAGTCCTCTAGATGAACCCATCAAGAATGGGCGTATCTCTGATATGATTTCCCAAGGGAGAGCTCGAACATCGCAACCTACGTTGGGGTGAGAGGCTACTTACTCAAACATTGGTGTTAACAAATGCTTTGCATGGTGAGTCTTCCTTGCTGAGGCTCCCTCTAGCCGAGTCATGTGGACCAAAAACTGCTTAGATACCTGCAAATTGCCAACATGGGCATATATGGGTATACAATTTGAATTTCATTGATAGTAGTCCTCGCAAGTTTATTCTCCTATTTTATCTATTATTCTATATAAGAAAAGGGCAAACTTTCATAGGATTGAGGATACCATATATTTTTTTAAACATTTAATTCACATGTTCCTTCACAACCTCTTTAATAGTGGCAAGCTCTCTGATGGTCAAGTATGACACAAATAATCCCCTAGAACCCACAAACTCATCTGTGGGACTCAAAGGCCTTCTTGTATGAGATCCAACTCCACCAAGCTATATCTCTTTCTAAGATAATATCAATTCGTAACCATGCCTCTTCCAACAAGCTCAACTCTATCCAACCCACTATAATAAAAGATGAAGTTGAGGGGAATGGAGACATTGAAGCCATGTTCCAATCAATAAAGCGATCGTTGGAATACATGGTAGGTCATAGTTGAATGAAGATGTGCCCCGTATGATTTAAGAAAATATATGGCACTTTGAGTCAAAGTTTCAGACCCATATTTTCCTTTGCTTTCTTGGTTTCTCCTGCATGAGGTGAAGATGCATACGAAGCTCTTTAAGGGAAAAGGGCATGAGAAGTAGCCCACTCACTCACAGACAATGTTAGGTAGAGATGTTATGGAATGTATTACCATGGACCACTGTAATAAACAAAGACTTCAACTTCCAAGCCCTTGACATATTGCAATCTTACCAACTAATTCACAATCAATTCCCATGAAGAATCAATTATAATTTTGAGAGATTTACATTCATATCATATAACTCTTATGGTTTTATATATCTAACATCTAAATCTTTATATTTAGTTATACAATGCGCTGATATCTAAATCAGATAAAAAATACCACTAACATTAACTTATCTAATTTCACATGCATCTTTTTATTTATGTGTTTTGATGTGATTAGAAACTAAAGTACTATATAAGTAAACATAAAAATTTAGATGTTAGATATCTAAATACATAAGAATTCCATGATATCTATGTAAATTCCACTAAAAATTTTTATGCTGTCACTAAATCACCAAATCTCCCTATAATCAGACCCTCCTTAAAGCACTTTAATAAATCTCTTAATATTATGAGCCTTTTATATTTAAAATTAACTTAATTTCCACTTTTAAGGTTTATTTCCATTATTTAGCAACTTTTTCTATAAATTGGAAATCTAGCTTCAAATGTTTAGCCATATTTTCAAAGGACTTGAATATATTTTGAAGTTTTTTCAAATTTTAAGATAAATACCTTTTATACTTAAATAACAAGTATAAGTATTCAATGTTGCCCAATATATTAAAAATTTTAAAATTATTACATGGTGGACTAGTTTTAAAATTATCTTTCAAATTTCTAATTTTCATGTTAAAGCCAAATGAAACAAATTAATTGCTACTCTATGATGTAAATGTTGAAGGACCACAAAAAGATGTGGCCATGAAACTAGTATGCTATAAAATGCATCATTGATCTAATGTGTATATCTATTATCTAATAATATTTAATTATTGATAATATTTCAAACTATTTTTCATACTTTCAAATTTACTAAATGATATGGAAAATCTTCCACAACAAACTTGATTATTTTACTAGAACTCTAATTTTGTGGTGAACTTTTGGTTCTATTTATTCTTAGTTTAGTAGTTATTACCGTATTTTCTCATAAAAGGTATGATATATGCATAGAGTTGCTAAATTTTTTAGTTCCTTACAATTGAATTTCTTATCTCCATCTTTTAAGGACAAGCTTTATCCATAGAACAGTTTTAAATATGAATTGCCTTTCAAAACCAGAATTATATATTTTTCCTAAACATATATTTATCTTGTGCAATTAAAACACTAGTTAAGACATGCTTCTATAATTCAAATTTCATCAATTATAGTTCTCAAAACAAAAATTGACCATACAATTTTATAACAATTAAAGACTAAAATGAGAAAAAAAACTTTTGTATAGGAAGTATCTATACCGTAGGTCGAGAAAAAACTGAGCAGACAGTGTTATCATGCCCTGATAAAGCACAGACCATAGCCTTAGTACGGATATCCCAGACCTAAAGGAGATGCAAAAAATTCAAGCTTAACATTGAACAAACCATTTTGAAAGATAATCTAACTAAAGAGCATTTTGCAATTTCTTTGAAATAAAGAGTAAAACAAATTTCAAAGGGGAAAATACATACCCGACAAACAGAATCACGGCCTCCAGTCAACAAAATATCAATTGTTGGATGAAGAGCTAAGCAATAAACACCACTGAGGTGTCCATGATAAGATCGAATTACCTGGGAAGATAACAGATTATGATATATGCAATAAAAAAACTGGTTATGGCTTTAGAAATATTAATTAATAAGTGAACATTAGCAAACCTTATTCTGTTCAAGGTCCCAACATTTAACTTGTTTGTCATCACCAGCAGAGAACAGATACGTATGGCGTTGACTCACAGCAAGTCCTAGACATTTAAAGGAAACAAGTAATTGGTTTCTTATATTTTTTAAAAACATTAAAGAATCTCCACTGAAGTAGTGCAGTTACTAATTTCTTCAACATATGCAACTAACCTCGGATTTGCTCAATATGTCCCGTCAATGTGAGTTTCAATCTTCCAGTTGCAACATCCCATATCTTTCAAAGAAACAGATGAATAGAAGAAGAGAGAGAACGAAAAAAATTAACATCCACACATAAAAGAAGATGATCAAAAGTATCATGGCACCTTAAAAAATCATCAAAGCAAACAGCCTACATCATTTTATCTCTTTGTCTGAACATGATTTCAAAGCACAAGTGAAAATGTCTGAGAAAAATAGATAGAAGAGGGAGGGATCACCAGGACATAAAGCTACATCCCTTGTTTCTTTATCTCTTTCTCTGAACATCATTTTATCCCTCAGCTTCCCGCCCCTGCCCCTACACCCTTATGTTCATCGCCACGAATAGCACCCACCATGAGGACAACACCAATGAGAGCAGACATGTTGTCACTAGTGTCCGTAAGAATATTTGAGATATATCTAGTGAAGTTCTCAATAAGGTATGGCATATGTATAATGATGCTTACCATGATAGCTAATAGGGGAGGGTGAGAAAGATATCCTCTCCTCCTAATTACCTTTTTCCTAATTAATTATTTTATTGTGTTATTTCATTGAACCTGGCTTAAATGTTTGTTATGACTTACAAGTTAATAAAGTTTTATTGAATGAAATAAAAATGAATAGTTGTGGAATAGATATGCATCCTAAAATTTAAAACTTCAAGATTTTTCTCGAATGAATTATTTTTTATCAATTAACCATAAGTTTATAAAATTATTTAAAATTATTTGTCAATTACTATATGAGGCCATAATTCAAAATTCCAAGAACAGAGATTTTCAACAATTTATTCAAATATATATAAAAATATGACCATAAAGAATTTCTCTTACTTGATTGAGGAGACTACTTGATTGGTGTTATGGTTTGCATTGTTAGACAAAGCTTACTTGCAAATGTGATCAATATGCCATAGAATGGAGTTTTTTTGAACCCTTTATAAGCCATAGCATTCAATGATAGAAGTAAAACTTGCTACATGTCAATGGTCTTGATGCATTTAGATTTTTTGCATTTTTTTTGTTTTGAACAATATTAGTTATATTTTCTATTTTTTGTTTTATTTTTATGCTATCCAATGATGGTGGTAAATCCAATGATCATGGTAGGAAAAGGTTTGGGTTATGCTTACCTTGGGTTTGCTGGCTTTGGGGTCCACCTTGTCCTTTGGGCTGTTTGCTGGTTTCAAATGGGCCTTGGCTATTTTCGGTTTGAGCTTTAGTTGTTGGAATTCTAGTGGTGCCAGCTCATTATTATCAAGTGGAGGTGTAGCTCATTATGAGCTGATGTTTAGTTCTGAAATTAAAGAAAAAGGAGCTAGATTTGGTGAGTGGAACTTGATCTTTCATCTTCCTTTTGACTCTTGGGCTGCTGCAGTTTTTCTATTGATTTTGCTCCCACGGGTAGCTGCTGCCTCTTCAGGTTGCTGCCTACTTTACAGCTGTGGCCCCCCTTTTTTACCGAAAAATGAACTTGGCTGTTTGATCTCTGTGCTTGGCTGCTGGAACCATGGCCTCCTTGTTTTTTGCTGTGCCATTTGGGATTTCTGTAAAGTAACTGTTGGCCTTTCATTTACCCATTTATGGGTGGATTTGAAGTGGTTTTTAGGCTGTTTAGTTTCCCCTCTATTGCCTATATATATGAGATTTTTTGAGATGAAGAAGGTTGGTGAATATTGAGAGCAAAGTTGATATAACCTGCGGGTTCTTCTTGGAAAAGCTTGAGAGCTTTGTCCATTCCCTCTTCTACCTCTTGGAAGGCTTGCGAGCTTCTCCACCCTTCGTCTGGGTTTCTAACCTCTTTCTTCTCAACGCAAGTTCCACTCCACCAGTATCTTTCTTTTAGTTCCGTTGGTAAAGTTTGTTGGCTGTTTTTTGGTGGATTTGTTGGCTGTTTTGGTGGCATTTGCTGGAGTTTGGAAGGATGTTGGACCCCTTTGCAGTGGTGGACCCTTGGTTTGCATATCTAAACATTATCTGAAATATATATTCCTACAATCGGTGCATGTGAGGAGTCCTCTTGTAGGATGTTCTGAGATAGCTTTTGTTTGTTTTTAGTTTGTTTCTTTTGCTAACTTTCTTTTGCTTTGGCTTTGTTGGATGATCGCTTCTTTTCTATTCTAAAATTTAGTTATTTATTTAGCCTATTTTGTTCTCCAAGTGGTGTCTTAAATTTCTAAAGAGCTAGTCTTGATTCTCTTTGTTGTTCTCACTTTGCGTTTTGCTTCAAGTTGCATACATCAGGTCTCCAACATTGAGTACATGTATGACAACTTTCACAGTCGAACCTAGAATAATGAATGGTGCTGACAATAAGGAATTAATTCCCATATAATAGAACGTGAGATTAAGCGGTCAGGCTCTGCAATGTCTCAATGGATATCCTTGCTTGAAATTTATAAAATATTGCATGGAAGTCACTAATTTGTGCATGTTTATAAACTTGGTATAAACCTGAATATTTGAACCCTATGAAAACATAATTGATATGCCTTTTTAATTAGTAATTTAATTTTTTTGTATAGCGCATAGAGCGGGTTTCCTAATTGCATTGACCCAAAAGAATGAACTCTTTTCCCATATTATTGAATCATCAAACCTTAATGAGAAATTAAAATAACTAATATTTCATAGTTCAAGATACCACAAGTCTAAAGATGAAATCCAACCAACAAGACAATTTGTAATCGTACTTCTCCACAAAAGTCAAGCTTTATATACTAAGAGATAAGTCAAGTCTTTAATGAAGAGTAGTATGAAATGTTTTATTATTCAAAATTGGCCAACTTCGGAGCCTTGAACTTTATATCGAGATTATAAGTACTAATAGCTAAGTACAAAAGACAAAAACCACAACAGCAGGGAAAAAATGTTCTAATATTACTAAGCACTGCATTTGCTATCCCTCACAAGGTATGCTTATATTTCTTGAGCTTAAGCGTGATGCTAATGATTTTGGGATAGAATTTCCATATAACAAATGATAATGTACTTAAAAAATTAGGTATTTGTTTAAAAGAACTGACGCGACCCCCCCCCCCCCCCCCCCCCTTCCTTTCCCCTTCTTTAAGGCTTGTGTCAATGCTAAAGTGGTTAAGGAAGGAATAGGATAGAGCATGCTCATGGTGGATTGTTGTGGTTGACAGTAGGCCTCCCAACCTCAGCCTAAAATGGTGGGATAAGTTAAGACAGCCACACACACAGGTCATGTCTCTTAATATTAGAGTGATCAAATGTGGAAATTTTAAAAATTAAAATGAGATTTTCATATTTGTTTACTAACAAGAAGAAAAAGGCTATTATGAAATATCATTACCAAAAAAAGGACATGAATTAGTTATGAACAAGATAGTCAGGCTCAGTTTTTATTAGAAAGATGAAATTCAATAGTGAACAAATCCATTTTGATAATCTTTTTGTTAAACAAACAATAAAAGTTTAGGATGTAGCACTTCTCCAACTTTATCCACTTTAATGCATAGCAAACATGCCACTAAAGAAAAAAAGGAGCAAAAATAGAGTGTGGAGAGATACAAATAGGAAAGCAAGGAGTGTATGGTTGTGTGTGTGTGCGTTTGTGCGCGCGCGTGAGAGAGAGAGAGAGAGAGAGAGAGAGAGAGAGAGAGAGAGATGGGTTAGCCAATAACTATCCATAAGTCTATAGTAAATACTAACAACAGAAGTATTGCCGGCATCAAATAAAGAAATGTATGATGTATTTTATTATTGTTGATGAATATTAGAGGGCATTTTCATCATTCATTAAGAAAAAGATGGCTACGATAAGGACTCATATAAAAAGTTGGCTAGCTAATCGAGTTGAACTATTTTATAAAACTTGCACCTTTCTATAAAATCAGGCCAACTGCATAGGCATAATTGTCATTTTCCTTTATATATATAGTAACTGAGATGCCTACACATTTTTTATATAGCAACTGAGATGCCTACTAATTTTTTATAACATAAAAGATTTAAAAAAAAAAACCTACCACAATTTCAATTTTAAATTATAACCAACCTTTATTGTTCGATCCGCCGAGCCAGTACAAAACCATGAATTGCTAGGATCAAAGGCAATGGATCTCACCCATCCCAGGTGACCACTGATGACCTACAATAGTAAAATGAATAAAATATATAAATAAGGAAACATTCCAGCATGTAAAAGATTCTTGTTATTTGCGGCTAAAAATTTTGGTTAGAGAATAGTATGTCTATGTTGAAAAAAGAACTAAATCATGTGTATGAGCTTATGTGGTACTAGCATCCTTCTAAATACTTTCACATGTCCAAGACCACGCAATTTATAGAACATCAAGTCTAACATAGGCTTCGTTTGGGACTGCTTTTTATTGCTTTCTAAAAAGGAGTTTTAGTACAAATTTTTTTATTTTTGTACTAAAGTTTTAGAAAGCAATAAAAAAGCCGTCCCAAACGAAGTCATAGTCTAATTTGTTGATCCCGTCTCTCTCCTATAAATAAACAATAAAAAACTACTAGCCCTGAACTAAGGAATTGTAATCACTTTGAATAAATGTATATGAAAGAAGGCATGTTTTATTTTCATTGCACAACTTCCAAGCTCAAAGATGATAACTGGAATCCAAGAAAATTATCAGCTAACCCATCACAGCTGAACCTCCAAACTTAAGAATACCTGTTTATAAATACTGCTGTTTTAACAAATTTTCTATGTATATTTGACTAAGCCTACCATTACTCATTAGTCCACAGGAAGATTACTACTAGATGTGCTAGTAACTGCTTCCATACATGAATGATTTCAAAATTTGACCTTCATACTCATTCAATTGCAACTGCTGTATGCTCATTGTAACTAATGCCATAGTATCCAAAACAAGTATAGATGCAAAAAAGAAGAAAAATGGTAAACATAAACGTCTAAAAAAAACAGCGTGCAATATTTTGTTTGGCAAGAAAGAGACTTAGCAATGGCATGCATAGAGACCAGTCGGTAGAAATAAGAAGGTAGCATTGCAACAGGATGTCCAGATAAATTGTTGGGGCCGTCCTCTCTAGAAATGGCTAAAGGTTGGGTTTGGATCAGAGTTTCGGTTATCTCAGATCTATTTAAATTATTGCTAATATGTACTCACAACCACACCATAGAAATGCAGGTCTGTGATAGGAAGTGGAACCTTGGGCAGAATATTGGTATAACACTTCATTTCACAAGGCGGCGCAGATCACACCTTTCAAGGTGCTTTATGGGAGGGATCCTCCAACCCTGATACAGTACAGGCCTCATTCTACATCAGTGTCCTTAGTGGAGCAACAATTGTCTAAAAGGGATGAGATCTTGGGGGAGCTGAAGAACCACTTGTTACGAGCCCAGAACATCATGAAGCAGGCAGCAGATCATCATAGGAACTAGGAAGGATGTTCAATTTGAGATTGGGGAATTTGTTTACTTGAAGTTGAGGCCTTACAGGCAGAATACTTTAGCAAGGAGGCTAAGTGTTAAGTTGGCCCCAAGGTATTATGGCCCCTATGAGGTAGAGCAGAAGATTGGGAATGTAGCATATCGCCTGAAGTTACCACCCACTACTACGATTCATCCAGTCTTTCATGTGTCCCAGTTGAAGAAGTTCAAGGGAGATTCTGTACCAGTCGATACTTTGCCGCCAACATTATCTGAAGATGGTACAAGCCTACTAGAGCCGTCTGCCTTGAAAGGGGTCAGACACACTGAGGACGGAGGGAAGGAAGTTTTGATTGAGTGGAAAGATCTACCGACACATGACGCAACTTGGGAGACCTATGAGATCATACAAGCTCAGTTTCCTGCTTTCAACCTTGAGGACAAGGTTAATCTTTGGGCGGGAAGTGATGATGGACCGGCTCGGTCCATTGCCACACCGGCCCCTGTGGGGCCGGTACTCACTTACTGCAGGCGGAGAACCCGCCTGCCTGGGCGGACAAACCAAGGGGGGGGGAGTAAAGGGGTGGGCCCCTTGGGCTCACCAAATTGAAAAGGTGGGATGAGATGTTTGCCCTAGGGGTATTGAGGGGATTTTGGGGGGTTTTATGTGAGAGTTAAAAGTGTGTTAGGGGGGCTTTTTGGAGGGATCTTGTTTTGTGGCTGTTTTAGGTTTCTTCTTCTCTAGGGCTTGGGAGAAAGCTTCCCTTCTCGAATTGGGAGCATTGTATCCGTGGAAACTTGTAAGTCTTTTGATATTTGAGTAAACGAAGTGTTTGTGAGTGTTTTCATCCAAGAAATCTTCTTTTCTCCCACTATTTTTGGGCTGTTTTCTTGGATTCCGAATTTTTGCAACTCAAGTTCCATCAGATTACTACTAGATGTGCTAGTAACTGCTTCCATACATGAATGATTTCAAAATTTGACCTTCATAATCATTCAGTCGCAACTGCTGTATGCTCATTGTAACTAATGCCATAGTATCCAAATCAAGTATAGATGCAAAAAAAGAAGAAAAATGGTAAACATAAACGTCTAAAAAAAAAGCATGCAATATTTAGTTTGCCAAGAAAGAGACTTAGCAATGACATGCAAAGAGACCAGTCGGTAGAAATAAGAAGGTAGCATTGCAACAGGATGTCCAGATATATTGTTGGGGCCGTCCTCTCTAGAAATGGCTAAAGGTTGGGTTTGGATCAGAGTTTTGGTTATCTCAGATCTATTTAAATTATTGCTAATATGTACTCACAACCACACCATAGAAATGCAGGTCGGTGATAGGAAGTGGATGCAATTTCAGCACAAGAAATTTAGGAAGAATATAACACAAACTTTTTTTATTGAAATAACTAAGAAGAAAAACACATGATACGGCTCTCTCAAATCCCTAACCGTCGGCTAGAGCCCATCCAAGTAAAGAAAACTAATGGGGGTCCACCCGCTCAGCCGTCGGTCCATCAATCTGCTCTATCAGGAATATCTCAGCACACAAAAATAGAACAATATTTTTAATTAGCACAGTATGAGTTATCCTAAATGAAGCATGGAATAGAAGCGCTATTGGGAGTAACTCACCTTTTAAGCTTTGTTATAAAAACGCTCATGCAAACAAACAGATAAAGGATCACAAGCCTACTCTCTTTGGTTCAATGCCCAATGTTTAACACACAAATGCAAACATTTAAAAGCTGATAACAGGTGAAATATCTGACAATGCAGGAATGGAAAATATCTCCAAGAACACAGATCATCTTCACCATTATTAGCCTGATATAATTATTGGGTTTGGCATCTCTAAGAATACTCATTAACAAAAAATGAAAAACAGAGCCATCTTACACTTTTAATGACATGTATAAATAGAGGATTAGCATACTCGATAGTTCTTCCATGGAGGATGCCAAGTAGGACGAGGCCATCTGCTCGGGATTCGTTCCATAAGTGCTGATGTTGATGGAAACCTTCAAGGGCACACAAGCTGACTGTCAAGTTAATATTTGAAAAACAAATATTAAGGGGCATAGAAAATATTGAAAAAATTCAATAGCTATGCCCATCATGGTATGACTACATCCAAGCTAACAAGGATGGTATGACTACATCCATCAATTTCATTAACTCCATGCATTACAAGCATCTTTTTTCACATTATTAAGGAATTGACATGCAAAAAATCTTAGTTGCTTTCTTTGTTGTAAAGCTTCAGGAACTTGTATAAACCAACAATCATGGATTGCATTCATCTTAGTTTGTTAAGGATAGCATGTCTAAGCCTCAGCACAGAATAATATCTTATGATCTCACGATCTTCTGAAGACTGATTCCATCATCCTAAAGAGCAAAGACCTTCTGCATTAAAAAATCGGCAGATGGCTTCAAAGAAAGTGCAACGCCTACTCTTCTATAGATTTGTAATTGTACAGAATTATAAACTCCATGAGATTCCTCATTAATTGGCAATCCCCAATGACAAAGCATTGTAACTTATGTTTTGTTGGAAAGCTCTCCAGCCTAATAACATTCCAGATAACTATAACTATTGTGTATCATTCTTAGCAGAGCATCTCACATAATAGTTCCTAAACTAATATATATAAATGGGAAAAGACCCACCTTGACTAACCCATTTCAAAAGGTAAATTAAGTTATCTGCAATACACCATTTTTAAAACTATGATACTAAATCTTTTCAAGGAAAAATCAACCAACATGCTAAATAGATGAGTTAAAAGATTATTGCCAGATGATCTAAGCAAACGAAAAAGAATTTGATTAGTTAATGCCAGATAAAACCAAACTAAAGTTTCAGGTTAATAATATAAGCCCAATATGATTAGTTCAAGAATGTAGGGCTATGGGGTCACCCATCCATACCCACGTCTAAAAAGAAAGTTAATGCTAATATGGGGTAAAAATATGAGAAATAGGAGAGTTACATAGATATAGTGCAAAGGGAAAACAACATAAGAGAAGAAAAAAAAAAAAGAAACCATGCATTAAATTTGGTATTCCTATGTAATAAAACAAAAGAGGGAAAAAACTTGAAGGAGCAATGGCAACCATCTTAAGAAGAGATGTCAAGAATGAGTACAAAAGTATACAATAAGAGTACAATATAAATCATAACAAAGAATGAAGGGATGATAGATAGCCAAAACTAGACCAAAGCTTCCATGCACCCTTTTGAACCATTTGATCCAAAACAAAAATGAAAACTTAAGCAAAAGAGCCGTTGAACAAAATTTTATCATTTTAAGCTCAAGAACCCTAAACAAATAAAACAATAGGGTTTAATTTGGTTGCCTATAAGTAAAAGAAGTAACACATGCCCCTCTAGAAGTGACTTCAAGCTACATGAGATGGGAAGTCATAATGGGTAAAACCATTCAAATCACTATCAAGCTGAGGAGTTACTCCAGTTTGATTTTCAACCAAATGCCATGAAGTGACCCACTTGCCTCACTATAAACTTTAGGAAGCCAGTTACAAGCAAGTAAATAACCCACACAAATGGAAAGAATTCGTATTCTTTTCATATTTGAAATACTCAACGAATTTAAGAACAAGTGAATTTTGTTTGAATGATGAACCAAAGATAAAGTACCAAAGTTATTGAGATTAAAAAAATACAAAAAATGGGGCATGGATAAACCTTTCAAAAGACCCAGAAAATGATACCACGGCACCTGAGACGCTTCTGCTAGGGATACCTGACTCCCTGATGACAAAATGACAGTTAGGAACAACATCTTACAATTTATAGAAGCAATAGACATTGCAATGGAAGACATACAATGTTTTAGGTGGCATTGTTGGCCCAGGTATAATAGCATTTTCACTTCCACCTTTTTCGAGATCCTTTATATCATCTTTGCCTGCAAAAATTTCAAGGACAAATTCAATGTAAGATTCCAACTAAATTTTTTAGTTTTCAAAGTAACAAATTGGCAGAGTAAATTTTTTATTTGTCTCAAAACTCATGCACATTATTGATGAATCCTTAGCAAGACTACTATGAAAGGCACATAGTACTATTACTGAATTATTTTTAATAGCCTGGCCTCAAATGTGCAAATAAATGGATTTTATTACAATTTGAAATCATCTTTTCAAGTTTTTGCTTCTTAAAAGTTGTTTACAAGCTCAGAAATATTTAATTATGATTTTGCTAACCATCTTAAGATATTGTTTATAGGTTCATGCACCAAGAAAAAACTATGAATGGTTAAAGTCTCCAAGCACCTGGGAGAGCCAAAGCAGATGATGTAGGTGCTTTATCCCTTTGAGCATTTGCATCATTGCTAACTTGATCCTGGCCTTGATTAGATGAAAGATTCTTCACTGAGCCATACTCTGCATTTAGCTTCAAAAAAGGCCGCAAAAAAAATTAAAGTGTCAATCACTCTTATTTTAAAGGAAGAAAAGTATCTCTAATATAATCACAAAAATAGATGCTTTTTATTCTTTGCTTGCAGAATTTGAAGACAGAAAGAAATCTCAACAATTACAATGGAGGAATTCATATATTTGACCTACAAATATCCATAAAGAAAAGCCGAAAAAGATAACCATAGTTTCCAATAAACCAAATTTTGCGTAGTTCGAATTCGGCGGCAAGTAAACACTGACCTTGTAGCTAATTCGAATCTGCTTGCTGATAGATGAGACGCGCAGGATTTAAAAAAAAAAAAACTAAAGAATATTAGATTGCAGAAGAAAAATAGGGGTTAATTTAGTTGCCTATAAGTAAAAGAAGTAACACATGCCCCTCTAGAAGTGACTTCAAGCTACATGAGATGGGAAGTCATAATGGGTAAAACCATTCAAATCACTATCAAGCTGAGGAGTTACTCCAGTTTGATTTTCAACCAAATGCTATGAAGTGACCCACTTGCCTCACTATAAACTTTAGGAAGCCAGTTACAAGCAAGTAAATAACCCACACAAATGGAAAGAATTCGTATTCTTTTCATATTTGAAATACTCAACGAATTTAAGAACAAGTGAATTTTGTTTGAATGATGAACCAAAGATAAAGTACCAAAGTTATTGAGCTTAAAAAAATACAAATAATGGGGCATTGATAAACCTCTCAAAAGACCCAGAAATTGATACCACAGCACCTGAGACGCTTCTGCTAGGAATACCCGACTCCCTGATGACAAAATGACAGTTAGGAACAACATCTTACAATTTAAAGAAGCATTAGACATTGCAATGGAAGACATACAATGCTTTTGGTGGCATTGTTGGCCCGGGTATAATAGCATTTTCACTTCCACCTTTTTGGAGATCCTTTATATCATCTTTGCCTGCAAAAATTTCAAGGAAAAATCCAATGTAAGCTTCTAACTATTTTATTTTTCTTTTCAAAGTAACAAATTGGCAGAATAAATTTTTTATTTGTCTCAAAACACATGTACATTATTGATGAATCCTTAGCAAAACTACTATGAAAGGCACATAGTACTATTACTGAATTATTTTTAATAGCCTGGCCTCAAATGTGCAAATAAAAGGATTTTATTACAATTTGAAATCATCTTTTCAAGTTTTTGCTTCTTAAAAGTTGTTTACAACCCAGAAAGATTTCATTCTGATTTTGCTAACCACCTTAAGATATTGTTTTTAGGTTCATACGCCAAGAAAAAACTATGAATGGTGAAAGTCTCCAAAAACCTGGGAGAGCCAAAGCAGATGATGTAGGTGCTTTATCCCTTTGAGCATTTGCATCATTGCTAACTTGATCCTGGCCTTGATTAGATGAAAGATTCTTCACTGAGCCATACTCTGCATTTAGCTTCAAATAAGGCCGCCAAAAAAAATTAAAGTGTCAAACACTCTTTTTCTAAAGAAAAAAAATTATCTCTAATATAATCACAAAAATACATTCTTTTTATTCTTTGCTTGAAGAATTTGAAGACAGAAATAAATCTCAACAATTACAATGAAGGAATTCATATATTTGACCTACAAATATCCATAAAGAAAAGCCGAAAAAGATAACCATGGTTTCCAATAAATCAAATTTTGCGCAGCTTGAATTCGGCGGCAAGTAAACACTGACCTTGTAGCTAATTCGAATATGCTTGCTGATAGATGAGACGCGCAGGATTTAAAAAAAAAAACTAAAGAATATTAGATTGCAGAAGAAAACATTCAAGTGAGTAAGAGATAAATAGGGGATGGTGGAGCCTTCAAAAGGCTAGGGTTTAGAAGAAGAGGGAATGAGAAAAAATAAGACCTTGCAGGGTCGGAAGGCCTGTAATGGCCATGTATGGGGGAAAATAGATCGAAGGCGCGCTTCAGGGACTTGAGACTAAGCTTCTTCAGAGACTGTGGCTCAACAGGCTCCATAGCGGTGGCGGCGGCGGCCACCGTTCCAGGCATCTGTCGAGTTCTCTCTCTCTCCCCCGCTCACAATAACCAGAAAAATCGGCCGATCATTTGCGAAATTGAGGAGCGACACTTTTTGTTGTTTTTGTACTTCTTTTAAGTAAGAAAATACTATTTTAGTTATATAATATTAGATTAATTATTTTACATTTTAATATAATATTATAATTTAAACTCTTCTCCAAACTTATAGACATTTTATTATATTTATAGGAAAATACAAAAAATGAATTATGGTGCTCGGATGCTCTAGACACTTGCACTGCGTCGCCTATAAATTGAATTAACTGCATTTCCTTGACTTAGCAGTGCTGGAATTTGACGTCGCGGCGTTGTATAGACAGAGACTAGGTGTGAGAGCTCGTTCCTTTGATTTTTTTCCTCTCTAGATTTGATTTTCCTCCCAGGATCGTCTGGGACGATATTGAGATCGTCCAGGACGATCAGTGCATTCAAACAGCTGATTTTTCTGGAAGTGGATCGTCCTGGGACGATCAGTGCATGGCAAAATCCCGAGAGCAAGGGTTTTTGGCAAATTAATTATCGTCCTGTATCGTCCTGGAAAATCGTCCTAGACGATTGAAAATTGGTCATAGCGTCTTGGACGATGTGGCGATCGGCCAGGACGATCAGACTTATTTTATAAGCAAATCAGCTCGATTTGAGGAGAGAGAAAACATTTTTATAAAACCAAAATATAGGAGGAGAGAGAAAGAGAAGGAAAGCGAAGGAAAAGCTCGCTTTCGGAGGCCACGGAGCACTTTTCGTCCGACGCCGCTGTTGGGAAAAGTGTTTATCTCGTGGTAATGACTCTGAATATTATTTATGTTTTCAGAGATATCGAATTTTGATCGTATTGTGCACTGTTTTGTGTTTTTGTGATCGAAAAACGGACCCGGTTTTGTATTGACACAACTTTCACCGTACAACTTTTAATATGTTATAGATACGAATATTCTACACGATTTGATTATTTTCTGGAACGATTTCACCAGTTATTTTGCGTGATTTTGATCGAATAGAAAAATATCAGGATGTTTATTGATATTGATTCAGTAGAATAATAGTCTTATATTATTGTTGTGAACATTCTATTGTAATTTGATAAATTGTGATTTTGTATGATTTTTGTGTAAATTTGATAAACTGTCGTTACGCTGCCGAAATTTCGTACGATTTCCGATTTTTCTGAGATTGATGAATTGAATAGATACGCATATGAATGTTGTTATGATTGCTCTACATTGTTCTTATATTGACTATTGAATACTGTAAGACAAGTGGAGCATGGTTGAACGTTGGTTGGAGATTGACTTGACCTGTACATGATGGTGGGCCGACGGGCTTTTCTTTAAACTATTGATCATTGATATAACGATTGGGAGTCATAAGGAGTTTAATATGCTGACGGGCGGCCGACGGGCACAGAGTGACGACTCTTATTGAAACCAACGTATGGATATCTACAACAGCAACATGGATTCTACAACAGCAGAATAGCCAGTGATTGTACTTGTTCAGTATTATTGTATTGAAGTGCATGTGTACAGTATTGACATATGGATTTACTGCTTTATTGATTTGATCGAATTTATGGATTTACTGTATCGTACGATTTCATCGATTTCATTGATTGATCGCTGAGCATTGATACTACTGAGCATAGATATTGATATGGATGGATATAGATATTGTATAGATTCATTGATACTATTGCTTCTGCACCATATTAACCTGCTGCATTTGATTCATTGCTA